ACAGTATGAAACAGAGGACACCGATCATTCCCACTATATACCTTTGGGCTAAGTTCCCTATTCCACATTAGCCATACAGCAATTTTGGTTTATCGGTAAAAGCTCTACCCATTCTGCTACTGCTACCTTCTTCATGGAGTACGTACACAGATGAACAGTCTTCCTGCACTTGCATACCTGGACTTTCCATGCTAACAGATATGTGAGGGATGGCTACTCATCTTAAGGGATCTGTACTTTAAATCACATTGGTGTCAAGGTACTGTCATTCCATCTCCAACTGCTCACTCCAGCTACTTAAAGGAATCCTGTGTGTGTAACAAGTGTATGAATTCTTTTTTCATGAAGATGGGTTCATTTTCATGAAAAAGGGTTACTGCAAGGATTTAGACTCAAACTGTGTGCAGTTAAATGTTCCATTGGTTTTAAATGAGAGTCTTATATACATCAGGTTTTGTCTTGTTATATTCATTTACAGCACAGCACCTAAAAAAAAAAAAATCATTGTATTGGTCTGATGTGGGGAGTTTTGAAGGAAAAAAGTCTCTATAGGGAAATACCTGCACAAAGACTCAGTTATTAACTTACTATAAAATACTTAGTAAAAAAGAATTAATTGTATCCATTGAAATATGTTTGTAGCTTAAATGTTTGATAAATAGCAGGGATCTTTTTATTCTTTGCCAGCTTCAGCAATTTGTCATTCCTCATTTAGTACTGTTGGTGTGAACAATACCACAGTTTTTTATACTAGGTGTCATGTACCAGCATTAACTATTCTTTAAAATCAATTTTGTATGCTATTGTAGGAGTTCTTCTCTTTGTGGCAAGCACTTACAAAGTAGCCCTTCTTGCACTATGTATTTCAAAACACAGAAAAGATTAATTTCAAATGACACATGTAAAAATTTGAGGTATACTGTGTCAATCTTTCATAAAAAAGCATTTACAAATAAGTCCCACTGATATCAATAGATCCACTTCTGTGAGCAAGTGCTTAGCAGTGAAAATGAAGGTTTCATAATTTGGCAGTTAGTAATAATACAGTTTCTAGACAGCATAATTTTATTAATTGAAGACACATTCAAAGTTTATCATTTGCTCCTCAAGCATTTATATGCATCTGATGCAATATTGTTGGTTGTATTCAGTATCTTGTTTGTGATATCATATTGATTTCCATATTAACTGAGCATACTGTCATAAAATCTCAGATTAGCACTTCCATTCAGGGATGAGCAACAGGCAACAGAACTTCCTCATATAAAACACACAATGACCCCACAAGTTTCGGAAAACATTTAAGATGTTTTTTTATCGGAGATATAATCCAGTTGTCAGGAGGTCAGGATAATGTCATGTAATAATATCTATTTCTGACTCGTGTGTATGCAAGAATTCATAGATGTACTCTCTATGGGAACAGGAACATATGGTGTATTTAATTGCTTACAGCTCTGATTCTGACAGTGCTGAGCTCCACTTTCCATGGGAGTGAATTACCTTAATGATGCAACTGGGTTTTGTGCGGTTGTGTTATGCTTATGAATGGGTTCAGGACTAGAAGAAACCTTGGCATCTTCAACTCATAGGTCACTGAAGCCTGAAATTTCATTATATTTATCTACATGTTCATTATTTCTACATTTTGAATTTCCATTCAGTTTGAGGAGTCTGAAGAGTGCTCCACAGTTCCTGTAATCAAATCATTGGCTTACTATGATTAAAATTATCATTATTAACCAAGATAAAACAGCCTTTGTGATACATGGATATAATATTAGCTCTTCTGACACTCTGTGCTGTGGATTCCAACAGGTCACTAAACACTTAGATATTTCTTTTTATGTGCATCCTACATGTAAGCTAATGAAGGCATCAAATGCCATATGGAAAGCCTGTCTTACACAGTTTTAAGTCTTAAACACTTAAATCTTATGTCATGGCTGTATAAGTTCATTTCTGGAATTTCCTACACATAGAATAAGACACATTTTGTTATGTGTTTCTTCAGTGCCTGTTGGAGTCTCAAGATACAGCAGGATTCACAACACAGAAATACTACCAAGAACCATGGAACCACCAGACATCACCCTGTGCTACCATGAATGAGATAAGCACAACATTTGAGACATAACCAGGAGACACTCAAGCATGAGACAAATTTCAGGGAACAGCCCCAGACTTTAGAAATTGTAGCAGCAGTAACTAAAGGATGGATAAAGACTTGTTAATGAAACAAAAGGAATGCTGTTTAGAGAGGAGAAAAACACAGAGACAAACTCAAAATGAACTAGGTTATGTTTTACTTGGCCAGAATTTGAAGGACACATATCATTAAAGTTGTATATGGGACAGTATTTTGTTTAAACTTTGAAGGACATTCTGATTTCCTATTTTCAACACACACATTCCTGGCTAAAAATTCAAATAACTGAATACAGGTATAAACATACCGATGGTGGCTATACACTAAGAGAGAAAGCAGAAACCTACTCCAAAAGAAAAGACTGTAAGCAAGAAACTTCAAGCTAAATCTAAACCTGTAGACAGGAGCGGTTGGACGTGATGATCTTGGAGGTCTTTTCCAACCGAGCGATTCTGTGATTCTGTAAACCTCCAGCAATAACAACAGCCTTAAAAAGAATATAACTGATTTCTCTGGATAAAGCAAGAAAAAAGGAGTGCAATCAGCTAAGTAAGAAAGCCTAATCACGAAAGGAATATAGAAATCTATAGTGATGTTAGAAATGGTAGAAATGTTGCTGTTCTCAGTGCTGAATGTTAAGATTCAACCTGTAAACGTGCAGAGAGCTGGACTATTTCTTTTGTGAGTCCAAAGGCCTCTTTCCTCTCAGTGGGTCTCAGCTGGAATTGAAGCACTGACTTGCCATGTCAATGGAGAATGTAGGAGATTCCAGAAAAAAAATATGACGGGATTACGAGCTTCCTTTTTTATCCTTCAACATATGACAACCCTCAGAGAAAAATTTTTGTTAAAGTTATATCCTGATGTCCATGTTGACTTCAAATAAATTTGACTTCCAGAAAAACGTAGGGGTTTGTTTGTTTCTTCAATTAATCTGTTAATTCCCTTCCCATCTCTTCTTCCGCCATAGGGCCTGTAAGAGTGGAAGGAATTGTATATACAACTGCAAAAGGTATGGATGGAGGAAACTACCACTGAGGAGGAACTGCTAGAGCAGGAATTGTTTTGCATTAAAATAGTTATGCTTTGTCATGACTCAAAGTTTTCGGGTGGCTAATAACCCTTCTGACAGAAGAATGACATATGACATATGACATAGCAGAAAATTTTAGAATTATCATTTTACCCCTTAGAAAGCCTATGCTCCTTCTGTATTTCCATGGGAATGGTCTTAAAACATCTTTAACAAATTCTTTTGAGGATTTAATATTTAAAACTCTTTAAAATATAGAGGACAGATGTAATATCACAATAGCCAACAACTTCAGAGATTAAAGGACCCTAGCATGCTTCTCTCTTATTCAACACGTTACTTAACGCAAATAATGAAAACAAATATTTCATGCACGTATCATCAACCACTGTAGTTATTTTCAAAGAGCTATGTACAATCATTTCAGCACCTCTGAAATTTGACACAGGTCTTTTTATTTATTTTACCCAATTACAGAGTAAAACAATGTAAACACCAATTTTAAGTTATTCTGCACTTCCCTCCTTGACAACTTTTTAAATTATTACAAACTTTGCAAGAACAAGCCAGAGCCTGTTACATTACTTTCTATTAGAATCTAAAATAACTTGTAAACCACTGAAAATATATCAGTTTATCTACTTTTATTGCACATTTTTGCTGAATATTTTCCTTATGTATATTAACATTGTGCATATTTTGACAATTTATTGCCAAATAAATTCTGACCTAAGAGAGAAATACAAATGAAAATTGAAAGTAATTACCCCATGTGTAGACCAAAAATCCTTGTCCCACCCCGGCTAAGACATCTGTGGAATTAATCTTCAAATGGAAAATAATGTCCCTCAAATGTGCAGTCTGTATTGGGGACTACAGCTAAATTAGGCTGTGAATATCAAAATTCTTATACTGATTGACACATTAAATCATCCCAGAAATTTCCCCATTCAAAAGGCTCATGTTTCATCATGTTTCATCATGTTCTTGGAAACGAAGATATCAATGCCACAGTGTTACACTCAAAATTCATATTTCCTCTCTTGCTATCTATTCAGCTTCTTAAACATATACTGTGCTTAAAGCTAGGATTACAACTCCGGACATTTATGGAGCACAGATGTTCTATGTATGAAGTTAACTACTGATCTGTATTTTCTTTTTTTCAGTTGTAATTTAAATTTGACAGTTTTGACTGTTGTATAATGATATTCTAAAAGAAACTCAATAGTGCAGATTTAGAGAAGCTTCATTACTAGCCTGTAAAAATGATCATTGACATAAGGATTCCACCTAGAAAGGCCTCATGATTGGCAGTCACATACTTCCTTAGAGGCATTTTACCCTTCCTATATGTACTTCTTGGCTAGTAAATGATGGAAACATATATGTCCTTATTGCCAAAGTATGTTCCAGTTACTGGAAAGAATAATAAGTGGAATAAACAATATAAGGTATTCATATTATACAGAAAACTTTCCAGGTCCTTCTCCCCTTCTCTCAAATATTGTCCTCATGCACAAATATCTGTAAATGCTTAAGAGAGAGAGGACTAAAATGATCCAGTACCATACTACTAAACTTACCCAGAGTAATTCTCCTAAATATCTCAGGTAACTCAATATTAGGCAGAAAGACAAAAAAAAGCAAGCCCCTTCCAGATAAAACATAATCTTAAAAAAACAAAACAAAACAAAACAAAAAACCAACAGAAAAGTGCACCATATCTTCCAACAATAACAACACTTTCAAGTTTTACTTCTCTTTTATTTCAGCCTATTCTAACAGATTCTATAAATCAAACTTTCTACACTGTACCAGTTGTTGCCCTAAAAGACTTATTCTGATTTGCATTAAGCACTTCACTCAACAAAAAATCACACAATTCCATTTGTTCAGTTTTGATTTTTACCTCAAAGACTTCTTCATCCAGAATCCTGGTTCCAAAGACAGTGATGCCATTGGTGTCCACAACTGTTTTGTCACTTCTTTCAAGTGGTTTTGTAGTTTTTTTGTTACAGTCAACAATCATTGTAACACTTTTTTTCTCCACACTAATAGCTACTCGATGCCATCTATTAAAAAAAAAAATCCAAACGTAATTCTACTGTAATTTATGTTTTGAAAACTAGGTCACCGTGTTCTTATCAAGACAGTTTATTGCTGATTGTGCACCAATCAAGTAACAGATTTTAAGTCTCTCCATTTATTCCCTTCTTTCATACATACACAACGTTTTGTATGTTCACTATATAACTTCTGTCCCTTAGTACAAAGGAATCTGATCTGTAGGGCATTAGGAATATTCTATATTAGATGAAGCTCAAGCTAACCTTCTCTGAAGCTCTTTCCAGAGAACATTAGTAAACTCAAACTGGAAGTGAGAGCACTATTTACATTTTATTAGACTGAATGATCTGACAGATTATTTTTATGAATGTGTTTGGTTTTCCAAATAACTTAAGGAATTACTTGTGCAAAGATATTTAATCCAACAGCTTATTCTTTGTTACTATTTGTTCTCTGTGATTTATCACCAAAATTTTACCATGTTCTTCTGGTTTTGAATATATCCCATAGATATAGAGGTTCTTCAAAGATGTACAAATGTTCCAACATAGATACTTTTCCAGATGTATACATTAACAAATGCTTGCCAATATTCCTGCAACAACAGATTTGCCCACATAAATATTCACCAAAGAGTGAATGAAGTGATCCAAGATACTGACAAATTATTTTTAAAAGACATTTGAGAATAAAGCTTTGTACAATCTGCCCAACTATGCTATTTTATAAGACTTTATTATCATGACAGAGCAAATTAATTTAGTGAGCCTCCCTCCTTCGACAACTTAAAATACCTACGAGCAAGACCAAGCCACTCTGTAATCTTACATGGAGTCAATTATTAAAAAATCTTTGATAGACCAGAGCAAAAAGTGTTGAAGAATGTCATATTAGTGCCTGGTAAGAGGAAGGCTGGAATCAAATTATTTTAGTTGGCATTTGTAGCACTAAGGCTGTTCAAATCAGAGAGACAGCTTAGATCACTGTTACAAAGAGCTTCTGTATATCAAAAGAAACACCTCAAAGCTAATGGAATCTGACTGCTAAACAGTGTCACTGAGCCAGAGCCCTAATTCCATGTTTTCTCTGGAACGCATTTAAACATTATCATTATAAAAGCAAACTGTCCATGCATCCTCAGGCACATTACGCTGTTTACACTTTTTAAATATATCTCATTTTGAGACGAAGATTGTTGTCCTAGATCCTTCATAAAATAGCTGATTCAGAAGAAAATTGCCAGTCTATCTTTTGAAAGCATGTAGAAGCTGAAAGCATGAAAACAGCTCACTCTGGATAGGATTGACTCCAGTTGATTTAGAAGTTGTATAATCTCACTGCAGGAAATTTTACCAAACCAAGTTCATTTTGATTTCTTCATTTTAATTAGTTTCTCAACATTTTGTTTGAAATTTTGAAAAAGTTTTGTTAGTGAGAGGAAGTCAACGAAAAAAGAAAAAAACTGTTTGCTGCTTTGTTTTTAATCACTCTTGCTAGGGAAATCCATCAGGTTCAGGTTTCATGGTATAATTCCATTCTATGGTAACACAAGGGTTAGAAGACAATTACTTTTTTCTTTTTTGGTATCCTTTATTGCTTTATAAACATATTTCATTATAGTTGAATTTCTGCCCTTCTGTCTCTACTGATTTGTTTTCTTTCGCTTTAATAAACTTTCATTCTGTTTATCCCTGAAGACTGTGGCTATTCTTCCTGGAGCACAGCACAATAAGTAAAAAGCCATTGAAAGAAGGAATGTCTATTACAAGCACTAGAATGATATTCCCAGAGAACGATTGCTTGTCTACAAAGGGAAGTTAGGTACAAACAATTAACAACTGCTTTACTAATACAGTAGGTGTTTGAGGTTAATTGCATTTACTAAGTGTGCTGTATAAGTGCTTGCAGCACTTCAGATCAGTTATCCAGTTTATTCTTCTCTGATTTTCTTATATATAGAGAACTCAAGCCATCTTATTTAACTCCTGTTTTGGTTCAGGATAGGAGAAATTCTATGCTGTCTTGTCAGTTTGTCTTCACTCTGCCTATTACCTTTAAACAGACACGACCAGTCCTTCCAGTGAGACTATTTCCCAAGTCTCTTTGAAAACAGAGTTTCTTTCTATATTGCACAGGAAGAATCTTCATAGGTTTAGTTTTGGTGGATTGAGCTTCCATGACTATTTCTTCACTCTTGATGCATACAAATGGCAAATGAGAAAGGTGGTTTGGCTTTATTTGTAGCTGTATACATCATCTGAAGCTGTATACATCATCTGAAGCTGGAACTGTGTTCTGCTGTAAAGGTTCTCCGATTTTGTACCACAGCAGTCCAACTACCTGGAAATTGTGTTACTGATTTCTTTAAATATTTAAGATAACTGTTTGTAAAGACCATTATTCACCTATAGAGTAGTCTGCGGTATTATTTTTCATCTTAAAATTTGACACTTACTTGCCATCAGCAATGTTGACTGTTCTGAAAAGAGGATAGTCTTCTGGGGCAGGTTTTCCATTTTGGTCTTCAAATAAGAAGACAGGGGATCTACCAACTTCAACACCTACTTGCTGAATTCCTTGCTCATTGTAGACAGACAGAAGGAAGGACTGGATACCCTTTTTAGGTTTTACTGTCATTAATATCGAAAAATCTTCTGGAAAGTCTCCACCTGTAAAAAAAAGTGACACATACAGTTACAAATTCAGAAAAGATTAAGTCATTCTTTAAAGGTTTACTTTCTTCCATAAGCACAGAGGATCCTGCATACAAGCTGTTGGGTTGTTTTTTTTAATTCTCCAAAATGAATTTTAAAAAATTACACTAGGAAAAGTTTTTTCTCTCTTTTCTTATTTATGGTCTCACTTTAATTCCTGAAAGATACACCTTAATGGTTCTTAAAAACACAACTTGCAAATCTATTGTGAATTTATGTAATAATACAATATATGCAAGAACCATGATAGTTTAACATTCATTATTTTTTCTATCCATCTCCTTTTAGCAACCTTCTAATTTAAAAGCATGCACTACAATTTCCCTCAATATGTATTCATATTATAGCAAATGCGTTCCCAGGCACTTCATCTTCCAAGGGTTAGGGTTAAGTTTAAACCACTTGTCTTAGTTTCTCTCTTACAATACATATTTTAGTCTTTCTGGAATAATATTGTGCATAACATCGAAAAAAATATATAACTACTTTCACTTAATAGGAGCTTTAGGCAAAGAACATTTGATTTTCATTTTTTCCTGATGCTTTCTCTTTGAAGTAGAGATCAATCAATCAATCGTTTCAACCTTTACAACTAAAAATAAGCAAAATTAAAAGTGAATACAGCTTGTTTATAAGGGAAAGGTTTGTAATCAGTACTACTCCTGTTAAACCTGGTGGTAAATCTGCATTTCACTTAATGTGAAAGTCTATTAGGCTTAATAACAAATGAAGTGTAAGAGTGAGATTCTGAATTTCAGAGCATACATTGGATCCGCGTGGCTTCAGCTGTCATTCAACATGCAAGAAATAGAGGGATTAGAATTTAATTGTAACATTAACAATGAATATAATTGTAACTTTGTGTGCATGAGAGTTAAAATATAGTACAAATATTATATCTGTAGTAAATTTTGCTTTGATATTCCATGAATAAAAAAGTAAACTGATGAGTTAAGTGAACATGTTAGTTACGCTTGAACTATGTATAGTGGTTTCCCATGTTGCTCTGGGAACCCATTATTGCTACAAAATAATGTATGTTTCCCCCTTTTACAGATCTTGCATGATATCTATATGATTACTGCTTTGAAAGACAAAAAATAAAGTATTCTGCTTTGCCAACACCTAATCTGTATGTTCATAGACAGATCTGTTCAAACTCCTCATAATGTATCAAAGCAGAAAAATTAAATGTTTCACAATTTTGGGTTTTAATATTCTTATTATCATTTTCCTCAACAGTTTGGGTCAAGCGACAGGAAAATAATGGAATAAAAGTAATTCCTCAACATCCAAAGACACTTCCAAAATGTGATTCTTTTATTTTACAGAAATACAAGAGAATCACAGAATCACATTACCTGCTATCCACAGCTTGTTTAGGCCCCCAAATATCCAGATACTTTTAGGTAATTCTTAACAGATCGTGCTTCTGGGAATGATTTTGCAATGGCCAACCACAATGCATTTCTACCACTGCAACACTACTCCAGGAAGTGCTGCCTTTAATTGGACTACTGAAACTAGAGGAAACTTGCCAAAGCCACCAAATAAGCTTCCATCAGATCGTATCATGAAAGAACGGGCAATATGACTTACAGGCCAACTCTGCCAGTGACACAGAATTTGATGAAAAGCTTTGTAACTGAAGCCAATAAAAAGTGATTCATTCAGTGGATAAAGGACATGTTCTGTCAGTTGTATGCAGGCCCAACTATGGATAACAGAAGAGTTTTGTGGTACTGATGATGGACTGCATGCTGTGCTTTAGGTACCATAAAAACATAGGCAGTAAGATAATTTACCAAAGTAATAGTTTTCTGACAACCTTACCTGGGTACAGCTGCTTTGTTGGGGCACTCAGCTGTGCAGTTTTTGAAACTCTGTAGGCGACATCTGATCCTTTTGAATCCCTTCTGTTTGTGCAAAATCCTGTTGTTCTTGACACTCCTTCTGGTGAACTGTGAAATTCTAATGCTTTTAGCACATCAATGGGTTCCGCTGTCAAAGAAAAAAAATAACCAACCAAAACCAATTACTCATCTCACATCTCTACAGTATGCAGCATCTAAAAAGGATATTAATTTCCTTGCAATAGCATATGTATGATCATAGCAGTAGCTGCATCTTATTTTGATTTATTGCAGATTACTCCTACACCAGAATATTATTTTAACAGGATTATTCATTTTTAAATATATGAGTTCATCCCATCCAAAGTAACTCTTATGATCAGATTTTCAAACTACTTGAGTTGACATTGAAAATCACTCTTTCTCAAATGCAGAGAACCTTGGTGCCTGAAACTTACAACATATTCTTTTAATGACTGATTTTTAATAATTTGAACTGGTTTTAAAAGTTTTCATGAAAATTTCAGAAGCATTCACCTACTAAAAATCTGCTATCAGAAACTTGTCTGTTGCTAACATTAAATTAGCATTACATATGACTGCTTTCTCAGATACAAAGTGATAAGGGACAAGCTAATCTCATTTCTTATCCAGTTAAAGGGAAGAAAAATAGAGCTGCTTTGCCTGCAAGGACTGAATGAACTGAATCATGATTTTTCATTATTTCTGAGTCAAAATTCAAATGGAGTTGTTTTGTACTCCAGGGCCCAAATACAATCAGGTTGCATTTATGCTCAGTGTCTAACAATTTAAAGTTTAAATCCAGAGCTGCTACTGCACTGATATTGATACAAAATTATAGATATATAGATATAGATAGATATAGATATATAGATATATAGATATAGATATATTAAAAAAAAAAGCCAACAACAAAGCTTTAATCTATAAAAGTTCACCATGGCAAAATGGCCAAGTACTGAATGGACAGGCACTTCAACAGAGGCAGTGAGAGAACATAGGCTGCCTACTGCATATCTTTTAGAAAAAGTTAAGGTGTTCATTCTCATACTCCTTACAGATTGTGGCTTCACTAATTTATTTTTTGAGTGGAAACAGAATTTCAGCAGACTATTTTTTCACTGTGACTATTCTGCAGTTTTTATGTTGGCAAACTCATAACCACTTCATCTGGAAAGAAAGTTTTACATGACTGTCACTGTTAAAGCCCTGAAAAGTGTTTGGTATATCTGACCCTTCCTCATGTCTTTGAGCTGCACCATGACATTAACTATAGCTAATTTATTCTCTATTATTATTTATGTGTCAACAAATATAAACCTAAGGTCTCAAATTCACTGTATGTGAATATTCAACTAGTGAATATTCAACTACTTCAACAACTATCTGCAAACAACAAGTG